GAAAGGTTAAATACCATGAGCACTCTATACTTCATATTGTGTCTGAGGATCTTCACCAGCATCGTGAATAACCAGAATGGAGTGAACTGAAGGAGACAGCGTTTGGAAATGCATTGCTGTTATTAGTTTTGCAAATGTAATTTGTATATGGCGTTCATTACGAATGTGACTTGATTTGACAACCTTTTTATTCAGTGTTCTAATGCATAAATGTTTTAGGAAGTATTGAAAGTGAAAGGCTCTAAGAGGGTGCGAATATTTATCCTGCTGAATGAAATTCAGTGTTTTGTATAGATTTTAGCAAGTTGTTATCCAGCTAAATATAATGCACGATAGGTTCATTTCTGCCTATAGAGCATTAAATGGTATTAATGTGAAAACTGATTAAAATTCCCAAAATGTCATTTTTTATTAAATTTTTTTATTGCATTCTCTAAGAGTTCTGAATGTATGTCGACACTGGGTGGAACATCATTTCTATGACTTTGAAAGAGATGCAGAATTATTATATCAACTAGAAGAATTCATTGGGACAGTTAGAGGTGAGGAGTCCTAAATTATGAAATATCTGCAACTAGAAATATACTATAACCGCAAAAACTGCAGTATTTTATCAATTGAGCGTGATCTCAGTGACCCGTACTGTGTTGTGATGCAGGTAAAGCCATGAAGAAATGGGTTGAATCTATCAGTAAAATCATCCTAAGGAAAAAACAGGCACAAGCAAATGGACCATCACATGCTATCACGTTTGAAAGTTTGCCCCCTTCCATAGAATGGCACATAAGTAGAATTGGCCAAGTTGAAGCGTTTGACCTGCTAACTTTGCATCCAATAGAAATTGCACGGCAGCTAACTTTATTAGAATCTGATCTTTACAGGTAATGATTTTTCTGCTGCTGTTAACAGTGTTATCAACGAATACGCTTTTGTATATAAAATGTGTGCAATATTTATTGCTTTTTTTAATGAGTACATCTGTATGATTGAAACGTATGAGGGATTATTTACATATGTAATTTCTGTCATTTAAGAATTTCAGTTTGCAGTGCTTAAGATTGACTTGTTATATTTTTGACCAAATGTGTATTATGATTTTAAGAGTTGAGAATGGTGATACTGTTTTCCCACGATATTTAATTTCATAGAAACCCCTGCAGTGTGGAAGCAAGCTATTTGGCCCAACGAGTCCACACTGACTCTCCGAAGAGCATCCCGCCCAGACTCACCCCCGTACCCTATCTCTGTAACCCTGCATTTGCTATGGCTAATCCACCCAATCTACACATCCCTGGGCAGTTGAGTATGGCCAATCCACCTAACCAGCACATTTCAGACTGCGGGAGGAAATAAGCACCCGGAGGAAACCCACGCAGGCATGGGGAAGATGTGCAAGCTCTACACAGTTGCCTGAGGCTGGAATTGAACCCAGGTCCCTGGCACTGAGGCAGCAGTGCTAACCACTGAACCACCTTGCCGCTTTGGTGACTGTTTTAGTATCAGAGCATTAAATTTTCAACCAACTTTTTTCTAGGCAAGAAATTCATGATGTAATTGATTGTGCCAATACATTGAAGTCATGAAAATGCCATTGGAACATTTATCAAACAAAATTAATTGATATAGCTTGAACTGTGTTATCATTCTCTGAAAACAATACAACCCACTTGTGGCACCTCGGTAGTGTTCCTACCTCTGGACTGTGAGGACAGTGGGTTCAAGTCCCACCTGCTCCAGTGGCATGTTATAGTATCTCTGAATAGGTTGGTTGGAGGGGAGAAAAAACCGAATAGGCTGAAGGAAACATAAATTTCATGCTACGGTCTGGATAGAGCTCAGTAAGTTTTTCTTCTGTTTAAAGTACACAAAGTTTGAGATCCCAGGTACTTAATAAGAGAATAAAGTCACAAGATTCCACAATTTTTAAACAAATAAAATAAACTAGTATAAATGAGGTCTGCCCAATGATTTGTAGAAGTGTAGCATCATTCCTTGCTTTTATACTCTATGCCTCTATTTATAAACCCAAAGATCCTATAAGCCTTAACAACTATTTCAACTTATCTGGTCACCTTCAGAGAATTATGCAGTTGAATCCCAAGGTCCCTTTGCTCCTGTGTTCCCCTGTAAGTTGTACCATTGACCCTGTATTGTCTCTCCATGTTTCTTCTACCAGAATGCATTACCTCACATTTATTTGCATTGAAATTCATCTGCCAGGCATCTGCCCATTTGGCCAACTTGTCAGTGTCACTCTGAAGTCACTCAGCATCACTATTCTCCCTAGTTTAGTGTATCTTCAAGTTTCAAGATTCTGTTGACTGTCTGGTGTCAGCTTATTTTTCTTTAAGTGTATAGTTATCTTATTCTATATTATGGCCTCCATCAATTTTTCTCACTATTGACGTCAAGCTGACAGGTCTGGAGTTTCCCAGGTTATCCTTTGCTCCAGGCCAAATCTGTCTTCAGAGAGGCTTGAATAGTTTATGTTGATGGCTTCGCAATTTGCTCCCTCACCTCTCTCAGCAATTTAGGATGCATCCCATCCAGGCTTGGTGACCTCTCTACCTAGAATACTGCCAGCCTTTTTAACAACTCTTCTTTATCTATCACTGTACTGCTCAGTTGCTCAACACTTGACATTTTCAACTGGGCCATTGTCACCATCTTCTAATTTGGTAAAGACAGAAGCAAAGTATTAATTTAGTACTTCCAATTCCCCGGTCCCCAACACCTCATCTTTACCATGGACGTCCAGTCCCTCTACACCTGCATTCCCCATGCAGATGGCCTTAAGGCCCTCCGCTTCTTCTTGTCCCGCAGGCCCGACCAGTCCCCCTCCACTGACACCCTCATCCGCTTAGCCGAACTCGTCCTCACACTCAACAACTTCTCTTTCAATTCCTCCCACTTCCTACAGACAAAGGGGGTAGCCATGGGTACCCGCATGGGCCCAAGCTACGCCTGCCTCTTTGTAGGTTACGTGGAACAATCCCTCTTCCGTACCTACACCGGCCCTAAACCCCACCTCTTCCTCCGTTACATTGATGACTGTATCGGTGCCGCCTCGTGCTCCCACGA